GGTGATGGCAGTGCCTGTGTGGCAATTGTGATGGTAACGCCCACGTGGCACTTGTGGCAAAGGTAATGTCCACGCAGCACTCACAGCAATGCTAGCGCAAGTGAAGGGTACACACATGTGTGCACTGGCCAGCCATTCACACAACTCAGTGGCCAACAGGCGACAGCCCATTAGTGGGCTGGGCCCACAGGTTGGGGACAGCTGCTGTAAGTGGTTTACAGAGTCAGCATATTTCCCCCAACAATCTGGGTCCTCATTTTACCGACCTCAAAAGGATGGAAGGCAGAGTTAACCTTGAGCCAGCCAGGATCGAACTGCTGACAGTTGGCAGTCAGCAGAATTAGCCTTCAATATTGCATCACCACTGCTCTATTAGTGTTATTGTTATTGTTGTTATTACTGTATTATTATTGTTGTTATTGTTACAATTATTTTCACTAGGTATTGCTATTCTGCATGGGGTTTGCTAAGGTACTATTGCAAATGTCACTACTAATATCATTGAGAATACTTTTTTTGTCTATTCACATGCTTATTAGGAACTGTCTGTTGCTGTCTGTGATTAAAGTTGACATAGGGGGCAGGCATGCCCTATCTGCTGCTAGATCAATCCACTTGGAAGAGAGCATCCAGAAATATGTCCTCAACTCCTTCTGGTTGGTTCAAGCTGTCTTCACAGCTGTGAATTGAGTTGTCTCACTGTCAGCCAAATTTTAGGTCTCACAGTGATGTCTAGGTAAGAGAGCCAGTATATAGCACAGTGGTTAAAGTGTTTGGACAAAGAGCAGGGAGATCATTGTAGCCCTCCCTTGGGCATGGAAGTCAGCTTTGTGACCTTGGGCCAGTCACTCGCTCACAATTCCAATCATCTTTAGGCTCTGCAACAAGCCAGCTGATGAACTAAATCCTCTGTGCATCATGCACTGATAGCTTCACTGTAAGAGCCAAGTAAGTGCAGTGCAAAAACAAGCAGGCTCTGCAGCCATGTAAGACAGACTATTATGTACAACAACAGTGATGCCGTGGGTATAACTAGAAAAAGAGTAGAAACTAGTGTTGAGATAGGAAGCATATTGTCTGTGTTGTACATTTTGGAAGGCATTGTTGCCTGTTATCTACATCTATATAGCTATCTATATATCTCTGTATCTACTGCTAAAATTCTCATTGTCATGATCTTGAACTGGGAAAAATGGCACATCATAGGACAATATTTTCAGGTTGCCTCAAATGGGCTATCTTGCAGAATACCTCCAAAATCTGGGACCCATGACTCCTGAGGGAATGGAATTTGGGGGAGTGGTGGCTGCTTCAGTACTACTGGCTACTACTGCATTGTTGGGCTGATGCTGCGGTCACAAGAATCTCATTTTTAATGTTCCATGACAGTTTCCCAGCCAATCGCATGGAAGGGAAGGGAAGGAAGGAAGAAAAATTTCAGACATTCTCTGCCAGCTTCTCATTAGAAAACTCAATAGGAAGCAAACAGGAAGTCATAATTTGCTCCCAGTCCCATTGTTTGGTTTTTTGCTCATCCCTGGTCATCATCTCTTAAATGAGGGGCACAGGTTGTCTAGTAATAGAAATGGCTCCTTGAACATGGGCATGATCTGAGAGGGAACACATAGATTGCGTGCTTCTTATAGAATGAGATGCATTCCATCTGAAATGTATTCCCCGTTCATTAGTCTTTTAAGAAGTTAATTCTCTGTCTATGTAACTTTAAAGTTCCCAAGGACTCCACCCCTTTGCAGGATAAAAGACAGAGCTGTAAAGAAATGACTTGGAAAACATGTTCTTAGCAGCCCCACTGCCGTTTCTTGGTTTACAGGAGAAGAAAAGCACCTCTATTCAATGTAACTCATTTCTCCCACACTTTATATGTGTGGCCCATAATCCCAAGGGTTTAAATAGGCTAAAACATGCAGTTCTTGACATGTTTTAAATATAATTTCCTGCATACCCTGGAATCTCCAAAGTGTGTTACAATCCTAGGTATTGCTATTCTGCGTGGGGTTAGGGTTAGGGTTAGGGTTAGGGTTGTGATTGCAACGTGACCAGATGCAGAAGAGCATCCTTTTTCTAATAGGACAACTGAGAATTTCAGGACCACTGATGGATGCCCTTGGATCCGTGGCGGTCCTGAGCGAGCTGCAAAGGACAGCACGCTACCACTGCAGCTTCTGTCTCACTCCATACTTGTCAGTAGAATGCAAACTCTGAGTGCCCTTTAATTACCCCTTTTGATAGAATAGAGCATTATATTTTGACAGCATTGCTGCTCTCTGAATTGCTGGTCCCTTTATGAATTTTATCAGCTGCTGGGTATCCTAGCATAGAAGAGAAATTGGAGCACAGATTTCTATGCAAATAGTTTCTAAATACTGCATATTTAATGGCATGCAGTTCTTCTTTGGAATTATGAATTCAGTCCCTAGTATTTCATTGTCTGTTTAGATGTTCTGGGTAAAAGGAAGGACAATGTCTAAAATCACCACTGTTAGTACACATTCTTCCTTAAGGACTAAGAATATATTCCATGCTTCGCATACATTCATTGAATCATAATTAGGAGGAAGGATATTATAAACTACTCATATGACCTTTGGAAATGTAGTCCTTGAATTCAGCATATTTGTAATGAGGTAGGGAAAGATTTAGGAGTCTTCCTGGAATTACAACTCCTGGTAAAGGACATGCCCAAGAGTCATTTTGTCCAGCTTCGGCTGCTTTGCCAATTGTGATCCGAGCTGGATGAGAAGACTCTGATAATTGTGAAGTGCCCTGATCACACATAAACTACATCCCTGTTCCACTATTTGGAATTTCCACTGGTGGGTGAAAACAACTACAACCAATGTGATAGGCACTGCATCGAATTTCCAACAGGCTTTGAGGAACAATTCAAAATATTGGTTTTAACGTATGTGGGATGGCTTCCTCCTTATGGGGCTAACCCATTCATCGTTTTCATGCCCAGTGAGGAATTGTTCCCCATAAATGTGAAGGTGGAAAATTATAATAGTGGTTTTTTTTCTTGCCTGCTCTCACCTTGAGAAAGTGCTTCTTCTGGGAGACAGAGTTGGAATTCACTAGTGGGACATCAGAATAGAACTCTTTCAAAAGGTCTTCAGGGTTCCCATATTGGCCTCTTTAGTTATTGGTTTGTGTTACTGTTTGCTCTTTGTAATTTAGTGGATTTAGTTGCATCTGCTTACAAATCACTGTGAGTCATCAATGTACAAACATAATAAATAAAATAAACAAGTCAAAGGCTTTTGCAAATCTTTCAACCTTAACACTATCCTCTCTCAATTTAAATGTTGCAAGAATATGTATTAAAATACAAATATTTTTAAATACCGTCATTTAAAATACATATTTCAATGTGAATTCTGAAGTAGATATCTTTCAAATATATGAATATATTCAGATATATGAATGATGAGGAAACATCGAAGAGCAGAATTATGAAAGAAAAAAGAGATGGCATGAAGTGGAAGTAGAATCATCTGTTCACAGGACAGCTCTCCAAAGAGAGGGAAGAATTGTTAATAGCATTTTTATCACCATTGTTCAGGCTCAGAAAAGATGTTATTGGTTTTGGTTTTAAGCTAGTCCCATCGCAACTTCCTCTCATTCTTGCTGCAGTTTTTTTTTTAAAAGGCAAACGATGAGTGAAAGCTGGCCTTCTGGGAGTAAAATCAAAATTTGTTCATTTTATTTTAAATAGCCCATTCATTTTTTTCGTTTGATTATGTAGATCGTACACATGGATTAACAGTGGTATGCCTTTGAATTTGGCTGCCAATTATTTTGCCTGCTTTTATTTAGTAATTTGCCTCTGTTCTATGGGATTTCTTAAGCCATCCGAGTTCACCTGTATAGATATGTCACCATAATGTGGCTTCTTTCTATCATGCCATGTTTTGTGTATCTAGCTATTATGGTTTGTAAATCATTTATATATTTAAACATTTTATATGTGGCTTTCAAGAATAGGATAGGATAGAACAGGACTGGATAATTCTTATTGGGCAAGTGTGATTGGACACTCAAGGGATTTGTCTCCAGTGCATAAGTTATCAGTGCACATGCAAGCAACAAGTGATAAATCATGGTCATAATCATCATAAAAATACATTACCATAAATCACAAGGTACAACACTCAGTGATAGTCATAGGATACTAAATAAAAGCAATCAACATTAATCATAAAAATCTTGTTTACACTTCTTTTCACTTAAAAGTAATAGATTACAACAAAATAGCTTCTAAACATAGAATAGCCTTTCTGGTCTATGGGAACCTTAGTTCAGCCATCTCTCTCAATGCACTGTCACCAAGCATTTTTCTTTTGGAACTGATCATGCTGTTCATACAGCTACTGAGTCAATAGGCATCTTTCGTGGCAATCATACTCTCAAAAGCTCTGGTGTTTCTACTAATACATATCTAAATGACATATATACCTGATACAGATCAAAAGAAACATGGGGTGTCCCTAGTTTAGTCTAATGAACTATTCAACAGACTATGAAAAGCCAGAAGGGAGAATGGCGGGGCCTGACATCGCTACAACACGACATGCAATCTTGGGGCTTCAGGATTGCTGTCGATATCTCTGTTGCTGGACAATCCTTTTGGATCTAAACCGTTCTGAAGGAATGGTGATAGAGAAGGGCATGTCTTGCTGATCTCAGGGGCATCACAAAGCCTATGATTGAAGAAAAAGTGGTGGAGTTGCAGCTACCCCTGGGGAATCTCCTGCCAGACATATGTCCCAGCGTGGTTCCTTCACCCCATCAATAAAATCCAATCACAACTCAGCCCACTATCAGCCTGCCTCAAAAGACTCCCAAAGTTTTGTGATAATTCTCCAGAGACCCATAATCCTATATAATATTTGGTCCCAACTAATATTTAGGAATCCTTTAATGATGAAAAATATTCCTGGATCCTGCACTGTATTTATCACCCTATTTCTTTTAATCTACAGGAGGAAGATATTGAATACTATGACTCCAAGGCTGATACAGAATATGTAAGTATCTTCTAGTTGCATTGCTTTTGTTCTACATAGTAATAGATTCAGTATTAATTTCTGTAGGGCTTTCTTTGCTACAGTTGTTCAAAGTTTACATTCATTTAATGGGCTTAAGATGGTGAAAAAGTAAGTTGTGGAGCTGCAAACCTCCAGCTCTTCTTCATCCATTGGTAATGGAAAGGAAGTTGTAAACATTTAACTACATTTCAACAAGGAGAAATTTCAAAGAACAGAAGTAGGACAAAAAATTGCTCATCAGTCTTGGTGATTTCAGGGAGTTGCGTTGGAGAAGAGAAAAAGGATATATAAGTGTAAGTTTTGTTACATTTTGAAATGGATTCACAGTTTTATTTCATGGTTTAAATTCTCATTGCTTCCTTGCTTGGTTAGTTGAGGTTTTTTTATTTTGTTGGTTTTGGTTTTGATTTTTTTTTTGTCGCTCTCTCTCTCTATTCTCCAGCTCAGAAGTGCTAAAATCTTCCCATGTATTTTTATCAAGTATCATAACAATAAATTTATTTTCCAGGATAAGGAATGCTGAAATAGGACAAATTTAAGCATAGAATATCATAGTGAAACCTTAAGAAAAGAAATGGTGCAGAGTGAGAAGACAAGTTTTAGGTGATAAAACAAAACCATCTATCATTGTTAGTTGATTGAAAATATATACTGTCATTGTTGCTTACATCAGATACTGAATTCACCCTGAAGTCCTGTATCTGGGAATAAATCCAGCAGTCCCTAAAAAGACTTGCTTTTAACAATGAAAGTTACTATGAAGCTCCAAAAGTTTTATATTTATATGAGTTCATGTATATAAAACTGCTAACTTTCAGTTACCCAAAAATACCCCATCTTCTTCCTTCGTAATTAAAATATAAATTTAGAAGCTAGTGACTACTTGTCCATTCATTACCATAAGCTAGATATATCTGTTTTCTATCTCCTTGAGTGCTAAAGAGATACTGTGGAAATACGTTTGGTCTCCTGCAAATGTTTGTCATGTAATTGTCTCATCTACCCTCTCTTCTCTCACTAAGCTACCCAAAAGTATTATCTATCAAAAAAAGAGAGAGATGGATATTTGAGGAGTCCTTGCTGCTCTCTGAGCTTGGTTGTTTTCTTGCAGACATTTCATTACCCAAACTGGATTTCTCATTTCAACCAGGAGCTACAAATATTTTCCTTTATTAGATGGATCTTTATACAAGTGGTTAATTAATTAGATATTTTCACAAAGTTTGCACCAGGTTACATTTCCTGGGATACGGTGAAGCTACAATGATATATTACAAACTGTTACAGAATGACAGAGTTGAAGAAACCTTGGAGGTCTTCTAGTCCAACCTCCTGCTCAAACAATAAATGCTATACCATTTCAGACAAATGGTTGTCCAATCTCTTCTTCAAATATATCTTATTCGATCCAGTCTCTCTAATGTGTGTGCTTATAGTTAGTGTTGACTCCTGTCCACCACCTGGATTAGTCCCTGCAATTTTCTTGGGAAGTTTTTGGGAAGTTATTTGCCATTTCCTGCTTTCTAGAGCTGGCTTAAGGTCACCCAACTGGCTTTGTGCCCAAGGCAGGACTAGAACTCATTGTGTCCAATTTCCAGCCTGGTGCCTTAACCATTATATAATTACATAACAATACATAATAATGAGCTGTCCATTATTATGTGTTCTTGGCAGTTTAGATATACTTCCTTTATTTACATGGAGATTCTAAAACAGCATTCCCAGTCTGGGCAATTTTTAGATATGCAGATTTCAAATATCACAATTTTCAATAATGGCCAACCTAACTGAGGAATCCTAGGAACTGAAGTCCATGTATCTAGAGGATACTCATGGGAGACATCCCTAAAAATTGAGAGGTGACTCTAAAAGTTTTGGTTCCAAGTGCTGAGATACTGGTAGGCCCCACTCCATGCTCACTTCATAATACCGACAAACTATCAAACAAAGACTGAAGAAGCCAGGTGCACTTTGCTAGAGAAAGTCATTTTGCTTCTTGGGTAAGTTTCTAAAATTAAAGCTAGCATCTGAAATTCAAATGAAGAGCAAACATCTAATTAGAGACAGAATCTAATTCTCTACCCTCCTCCCGGCACAGCCATCCTGTAATTCTGGCAATCAGAACATTAAGTATAAACTAGAGAGCTTCAGTTCCCCAAGGAAATAGGCCTTTGCTAGTTACTACGTGCAATGTGAACACTTGGAACGGATGTTGCTCAAAATTACTCCCAAGTATCCACTCCTGGCTTAACTCACTCCAGAACTGACTGCATTTGATTGGCTATAGAGTGCTTTTGGAATAGTTCAAATCTTTCAGGGCAGAGGAAAAAAAGAATTCGTATGCAAAAGCAGGAACAGAGGTTGTCATTGCCAGCTTGGTGAGAAGGTGCAAATCACTGATCTCTTTATTTGAGAAAGCTGCTGTCCTTAAGCTTCATAATGTTAGTGGAAGACTAACAGGGGATTCCTATAGTTCACAAACTGGACTATAAACTAACATTATTCATCCAGTTATATGTCTGTCATGATTGAGTTGGTATCCGTTCTTTATGTACAATGGATTCCTTCCCAGATTTGTTTCATTTATGTTTTTACAAATGAAAAATGTGGAGTCCTAGATAGTAGGAATCCAAAAATGTGGAACCCTAGACAGTAAAGAAAGGTTCATAGAAAACATAGTTGCAAAAACTGATGTCACCCTATAACCAGAGGACATATTCTACATGTCCAATTTGGTAATTATAGACAAGGAACAGATTTGAACACCAACTCAAACACAGACTGAAATTTGAATGATCGGCCCATTTTCTTAGGAGAACAATGAAGCTAGGTTATAAAACGGAATCATGTGTTCTCAGATTTCTACCAAAAAGGGTCATAGCTGATAACTGCAGTGGTATAGAAGATTAATGCTAAAGTTACTGTTATGGGCTAAATAACCCCAGCTCTGCCCCAAATTAAGGGTTTTATGGGATCATAAAAAGGGAGTCAGATATGTTTTATACTAGAGTTGGATATTGTCTCAAAGCTGTATAACAGAGATACCTACAGAAGTTAATTATTAAGTTTCTTTCACAAACCTAAATATAAGGAGAGTGAAAAGATGGGTGAGAGACAAGGCAATCTTTTATCTAAACTTCTTATTCACTTCCTAAAATTTGACCAAGTCTCTCTCTCCCCCCACCCTATTTTACCATTCCTCTTATTAAAAACTCACCTGTGCAAGGGAATCTAACACTATCTTCTAAGTAAGAAACCTCCTTCCTCTGAAAACAATCTCATCTTCTCTGTTCGTTCTCATCCACTTTCTTCATTATGATTTTTCCCCTCTCATTTGTGTTCAGCCTTGCTTGAATTCCTCAGCCGATGACTGTGCCTTGGAATGCAAAACCTGTAGCATGCCAGACCAAAGTTGTTACTCCTGCTACTACTACTACTACTACTGTTCGTCTAATTTGCTTCCTCCATCCCTCTCTCCTTCTATGTTTTCGCACAAAGATGTGCATAATCATTAGCAGTTTAGAACACATGGCAATAAATCTCTATTCTTGGCGTGCCTGTTCCCTTGCTGTTGAAAATTTATGAAGCTATAAAGGGCAAAAAATGTAAGCGTTCCTAGAGAAACACCGCTTGCAGTTGATTGGTTTAATAATAAATGGATTTCTAAGGTCAGCCAACATTATTGATATAATTTAGGCCTTATTTCCTGTAAAACAGTAGCTACTGTACTCTCTATATCTTACAGCAATCTGCATTTGAACTTCTGTTAGTATTTCTATTACAAATTAATTCTGTCCCTTCAGCTCCTCTAGCAGTGCTAAGTAAGGGCTTATTATTATTTCCTGCTGAACATTGGCAGGAAAAAAGCATATCTCCCTACTAGCCTTCTAGATCCTTGGCTGATAGAGTTCATCTCCTACTATTTTCCCTTAAAACAACACTCATCTGGGAAGTTTACCCACCCCTCCTTTAAACTATAGCTGGAAAGGTAACATTGATGGAGACCAAAAAGAAAATAGTCATGTTTCCTAACATGCGGTATGTCAGAATTCTTCAAACTGGGTTCCATAGAACCCAGACGGGTTCCTCAAGAACTTAATGGACTTCTGCCGCAGGGGTGGGCTTCAAAAATTTCAGCAATAGGTTCTCTGCCTGGTTGCTGGGGGGCATGGCCATGGTGGGCATGGCTTAGTCAGCCTCCTGTACCATGGCAGGGGGGGGGGCATGTTTTCACCTTCACCAAGCTCTGGAAGCTTTCCTCAAGCCTCTGGGAGAGCAAAAACTACCTCCCCCGGGCTCCGGAGATCCTCTGGAGGTCACAAGCGGGCCCATTTCTGACCTTCCAGGAGGCCCGTTCCCCCCTCCCTGAGTCTCCACATGAGCTTTGCACTTACCTCGCATCTAAAACAGGCTGCATGGAGACTCCTGGGAGGGGCGGGGCGGGTGAGGCAGGGTGAGGCAGAGTGGGAGGAGCCTGCCAGGGGGGGATTTGGAGGTTCTCTGAACCAGCCATAAGGTTAGCTACAGGTTCTCCCGAACCCAGGCAAACCCGTAGCAGCCCAACCCTGGTTCTGCGTGAATCAAAGGGCTTTTTTAAAAAAAAAAAAAAAAGTCCATTCAAACACAGCCAATTGTCATTCATTAGAGTTTTAACTCTTGATCAGGAATGTAACCTTTGAAAGTGAGGTGTGTTTTTTTTCCTTTTGTCATGGTCGTATTTCCAACTTCTGAAAATAAAATGCAATCAACTCTGAAGAGCAGATGTGCATTGCAACAGGAGAAACCCCAGAATCACAGCATAGTATAAAGTATGATCCAGAAATCACCCCAGACATTCCTCAAGGAGCCTGCATTAGCAGAGGACAATGATTCTTAAGAATGGTTAAGGATAAACTCCCTAAACCTTTAAAATTAATCAGACTTCTGACAGTCCATGAATCATAAAATTCTAAATAGGGGGAAAGAAGAGCAAATTAGTT